GGGAGGGGTGGATATCGGGGTATAGTACCCGATTGTCAGTTAACTACTAATTTTTAGGCCAAAAAGTACACACCATCCCTTCTAGCCATAATTAATAAAAAGTCCTTGTCTTTGGCATTTATTTTAAGAGTCAATTATCTACATTTTGTTTAATATTCGGTTATCAAAATCGTGGATCACCGGTGCGGAAGTAAGGACACTAAAGTGTCGTTGTCTTAGAGCAGTTATCGCACGACTGTTAAAAACTCAAAGCCGTAAGCGTGCCGTACCGTGACCGTGGTGTTTTTTAGAATCTTAATTAGTTTTTTTTTACTCACGCAATGTAATTGCCCGAGCCCTCCTTTTTGCTGCAGGCCAGAATAAGCGCAGGCTCAGTGGGTACGAGATTGAAAAAAATATTTTCTAGTTTTAAACGCACTGCGCACGTGTTACAGTTCCTTGTTATGGACGTAACTAGCGTGTTTCCCATTTTAGGAGCACTTTTCTCATTCTCTTGAGGATAAGATGCTTTGTTTGAGTCGTATCCATATTCATTTGTCTTCTCGTGTGCAACCTTTAAGCAAGAATTGATATTCTAGGGAATGAAACATCACTGAAATGAGAAATGTCTACTCCATGTTCTTGTTTTGAGCTCCTCATCATTTGCCAAACTTCATTTGAGTTATTCTCAACCTTCAAAATTCAAACCTTAAGTCCATAGTGTACTGATCATAACTGACAGGTCTCAAACGTCTCCCCCCCTGAAAACAAGTACTTTGTGAAAATGAGCAACATACATGAATCATTAGTCAGAAGGCGGAGTTTCAGTACAAAACCTGATAATGATATGTATAGAGATATCTATAATATTATTAATATTTATAATATATAACATGTATGTAATATATAATATATATATATATATCAAATATGAAGTCGACATTTTTATGAGGATTGTCATAATAATGATAAATAATAATAATAATAATAATATACTAATAATAATTAAATTTTTTTGGTCGAAAAACAATAATAATAAATAACTTTATTGACAATAATAATTAACTAATAATTCATTATAATATGAGACGTGATAAGAATATTGCTATAATTATAAAACAAAA